CCGTACCCATGGGCGCTAGGTGCTACTAGTGCGCAAAACAAGCACCAACTAACTTTTTTTCATCGTGGGACCCACCAAATGTCAAAGAAAAAATTAAAGCATGTGTTTCATCTCTGTGTGAGCTGGTTACTTTTGACAGATTCTAAGTAACACGTAGACATAGTCTATTTTCATCAGGTAACTTGAAAATTTGAACCATTGACCTTTGGCGTAGGATCAACTTTGATATCAAATTGAAGCATGTGCTCCATTTCAACTAACGGGCTGTTTGGTTGGAGGTAGTTTAGGTGTAGTTGAATTGCAATTCCGCGGAGATCACAATTACGCCGTTTGGTTGGAGGGAATTGCAATTCCACCGAATTGCAATTCCCTCCAAATGTTGAATTGCAATTCCGGACTCCACCCTAAGAATTGTAATTCAGCGTTGAATTGGAGATTGAAAAGACATTTTTGTCCCTGACATCTATTATTATTAATAATACATGAGGTCATTTCAGTCATTGCATCACTTATTCCCTCTCAATTCCCTGTAATCTTATTTTGCATACCAAACACTGCAATTTGAATTCCTACTTTATTCCTACCTTATTCTTTTCCCACCGAATTACAATTCCTTTCCACCCTAATTCCTTCATTCCAACCAAACGACCTGTAAAAGTTTAATTAAGCTAATAGTTGGATTGAATATTTAATTATATGTTTTTATATTATATACTCAACACTAAATAATGCCCCAGTGACTGAGATTTGATAGATAATTTAGTGATAAAGTATACCTTTAATTTTGTTCAAGATATATAGTAGACCTTGTTCTAAATTTCATCGCTCTTGTTTTCTATCAAATGGGATACAAAAAAATAAGTGACAAATTAGAAATGAGAAGATGCAAACAAACTAAACAACAAACTTAAACAAAATATAGAGGTGACATGCACCCTCATATAATTAGTCGATAAAAGCTACTTACTCCCATCTGCCAAGTCCTTTAAAATTCCTAAATTATAATGTCCACCAATCACATATATTACCATTCAGTTTATAGAAAATTTTACATCTCGATGAATATGTCGCATATAACAATTTCAATTCCAATCACGCAACCAACACACTATACTTACTATACCAATGATATTCAGATACAAACGGCTCAAGATTTTCATCAAACTTTATCATGAAAATTGAAAAATATAATCAAACCAAATCCAAGCAGATTTTAAAACCTAGATGTTTATAAATTATTATATTCTTAGGTCAGATTCGACTCGTTCAAGATTTTATAGTATCTTAATAAATTTAATGATCTGAGCTATTATTTTAGAGGCCAAGTTTTTAATTTGTGTTTAGTTATTTGATTGGTTTAAGTCCTTTTCAAACATTAATTAGTCACGAAAAACCCTACATCTCCTGTTCTTCAACCAAGAGCTGAGAATGCCAATTATGCCAAAAAGTGTTTGAATGGGTGGAACATGATTATTGTACTAGAAATTTATACTTTCAATTTTTTTCAACAGAATTTTAGTTAAGCCCGTCAGTTTAGGGATGTCAATCGGATCATCACCCGTTCGATTTCAAGCTAGCCCTATCAGGCTTATCGGATATTTTATATTCTAGTCGGTCAGGTTGGGTTGTATATTTGTTTGACCCGGTTCCGTGGTACTCGAGTTATATATAGAATAAGTATTACAATTTCTTTAACATTTCACATATAAGTATTACAATATTTATATATATTATAATTATTACACTTTGTAACTATCACAATATTTATCATTAGTAACAATCCTTTTATCCTAAATATTATCACAATTTCACATATAAATATTACAATATCTATTATAAATAACAATTTATTTATTTAATATTTCATATTGGTATTAAATTTTCAGAAAAAAAATATAAATATTAGGGAAAGAGTCAAATAGGCACCTAATATAAACTTTACTCAAAAAGTCAATTAGGCCCCTAAATTTTTAAAAGTTACAATTAAATCCATAAACATGTCATTTTAGTGCATTGAATTCTAAAAACTGATTCATGCCCTATAATAGTAAGTCACTAGGGTTCAGAGCGATGACCCTCCGACCAACTCCGATGACAACCGACCAAGCAGCTATCATATAAAATAGATTCAATTCGACCAATCTCACGGATTAAGATCTATGAGACGTGTCACACAAGTATAACTCTGATCTAGTCGGGTAAGTATATATGGGTCTAAGACCTAATATTATTATTTATTTCTTGAATTGATGGATTTAGCAAGTTCAAATTCAGAAGGCCGACCATTTGGTTAAACGATTTCTATGCAAATTCAAAGCATTGTGTAGATAGTTGAATGGCTCTAAACATGATTTGAAATATTTGATTTTGAGCGATTTATCACAATCGTTATGCAGTCCATCCGTATGCACCATGCATGGTGCATACGGATGCAAAAACGACAGTCGTTTTGACGTCTAACTTAAAAATAAAAAAAAAAAAACAGAGATGCATAACTACACATCCATAATTTCATCACATTCATAATTTGATTAATTTCATAACTATACATCCAGAATATAATTACATAACTACATATCCATAATTTCATAACTATAAATCCAGAATTGCATAACTACACATCTATAACTTCATAACTATACATCCACAATTGCATAACTACACATCCATAACTTCATAACTATAAATCCAGAATTGCATAACTACACATCCAGAATTGCATAACTATACATCCAGAATTTCATAACTAAAAATTCAGAATGAATGTATTAAAACATGAATAACATAATATTATTGCTGGGAATCGAAAATGATTTTTTTAAAGTAGGACGCGCGTTTTGATGCAAAACGACGTCGTTTTTTCATCCACGGATGAACAACATAATTTGCCGATTTATCATTACCTTATCAGTTACATTTTATATTTTTATACCTCAAAATTGGACTCCAGCTGCCCAAAAAATCATTAATACAAATTTTGCTAAGGGTCCGTTTGGAAAACAGGAAAATGACTTCTGGAAAATGAGTCATTTTCCGGAAAACATTTTCCTTTTCCAGTGTTTGGTTGCATTTGGAAAACTGTTTTGGTGTGTTTGGTTCATTTTCTGGAAAATGAGAGTAGAATGGTATAATTAAATATTTTAATTATTTTATTCTAAATTAAAAATTTATTTTAAATCTTTAAAACAAAAACAAAATCAAAAAAAATTAAAAAAATTATGGCTTCCGACGGAACCCAATTCCGCCAGAAACCATATCTATGGTTTCCGGCGGAACCCAGTTCCGCCGGAAACCATAGAATTTAAAAAAAAAAAAAAAAAAAGAAAGAGAAGAGGCGGAAAACGACTTCCGCCCAAATTTGGCGGAAGTCGTTTTCCGCCAAATTGGCCTCATTTTCCCCAGTCAACGGAAAATGGATTCCGTTGACTGGATTTTCCAGGTGTAGCCAAACACCAAAAACTCGGAAAATGACTTCCAGAAGTCATTTTCCGGGTTTCCAAACACAGCCTAAGATTGCCTTTAATTAATAAACTTGTCAATAATTAGAGCAATTTCAATAAAATTGGTCATACAATTAATTTGATAATTGCAAAGTTTTAAGTTTAATTCATGTTTACTAATTTTCTTAATTTGAGTCAATCAACTATGAATAATTTATATTGATTTACTTCATCATGATCATTTACTAATTAAGTTTATGAAATAAAAATCACTCAACATCCAGTTAAATATAAACAACCTAAATTAATTTATCTCTTTATAATCTTTTACCGACTAAAATCTAATTTCACACTATAACAACTACAAACAATTTCATAAATAAAAAACAAACTTGTCAAAAATAATAATACCAAAATTGGTAAATGATGATAAACATGTCAACAACTCAAATTCCAGAGTCATATCGTGTACTCAAAGCAAGCAAGAAAAATCCAAAGACCCATAATTATAAATTTATAATCCTCCCACACCGTCCAATAGGATCAGTTTCCCATGGACTCTCTTCCTTTAATTTATTCTTTGTTGAACAAGTCAAGCCTGCTCTTAATCAACATCTTATCCCATTACTATTTACTACAAAATTTTCTAACACCTGAAACACTTATATATTTAGTATATTACAAATTTATTTTTTAAAATTAAAATAAACATGTAATACATTAAAAATTAATTTATAAAATACTAAATATAAAATTGTATACGATTGTGTATTTTTATAATTATATTTTTATATTTAACTTCAATTTTAATAAGACGTGTTATCCTTATTGAATATAATATACAATATTTTATACAATTTAAAGTAACTAATTAATAGATACGGAGTACTTATTAGTACGTGAAAGGTGAAGCTAAGATATTTTATTTGAAACTTTAAGTGAACTACGTCGCGAACAAATTTTTTAAAAATATCAATTTGAACAAAAATTTATCATAGGTTAATTAATTAATTAATTGATGCAGAACAAATCAACTTATACAATAAAAGATAAACTTCAACAACAATTATAATATACTTTAGACATCTAACTAGTGATCAAAATGATAGATTTCATAACTATGTATCTATAGCTAACAAACTTACTATGACTTATGTCGCATTTAATTAAATAATATATTATTAATAAATTTGACTAGCTAGCAATTAAAAAAACTCAGCATCATCACGACATCACCTGGGGTCATTTATTTTATAGATTTGGATTATTTTATAGATTTTTTTTTAATGAAACTTGAACCTTCAAGCTCCTTCTACGCGGTTGGATGGGAAACGATAGAATATACAAGAGATCAACAAAATTATAGGAAATATATTTTTTTAAAAATATAACAATATAACGAGTCAACAAGACTGGAACAGCAAAGTCAAACCTTTTGGTGGGCCCTCAAACTCGTCTTCCTGCTCGAAAACCCGCAAACTTAAAGCTGCTGTCCTTGCTGACTTGCTTCCATAACCCATACGTACAGAGATCTCTCTTCTAGAAACCAAACTAAAACGCTGTTTCGCAATCAATTATCGTCATAGTTTGTTTTTCTGAAATTCCTAAACCTCTGATCTTGTCTGTTCCATTTGTCATCCATAGATTCCGCCACGATAGTCTGATACGATGAATCGGAAGATGGCATCTTTGTCGAAATGGTTATTCTTATTCATCTTCTTCCTGTCCATAAACCGGTCCGTTTCCGACCCAAGAGCGTCGGAGGCGGCTCTGATATGCACCAACAGAACGGCGCCGCAATCTCAGCGCCAGGCATATGTTGCCAACTTCGTGGCCGCCCTGGACGCCTTGACGCCGCTCGTCGACTCGAAGAAATACGGGGAAACGGTCATCGGAGCGGGGAACGCGACGGTTTACGCGTTCGGGGAGTGCATGAAGGACTTGTCGCAGACGGATTGTAATCTCTGCTTTGCCCAGTGCAAGACCCAGATTCTGCGGTGCTTGCCGTTCCAGCGTCTGGTTCGCGGCGGCCGCCTGTTTTACGACGGGTGTTTCGTGAGGTACGATGATTACGTGTTCTTTAACGAAAGCTCGAGTCTTTCGGATAAGACGGTCTGCGGGGCGGAGGATTTCGGCGGGAATTCGGGGTTGTTCCGCCGGAATGCGGCGGCGTTGGTGGGTGAATTGGGCCGGAAAGCGGCGGCGAATGATGGGTTCTTCACGGCGGCCGTCGGAAGAGGAAATTCGACGGTGTACGGGCTGGCGCAGTGCTGGGAGTTTGTGCGAGGAAAATCCTGCGACGATTGCTTGGCCGCCGCGGTTTCCAAGATTGGTTCTTGTCTTCCTAAGGAAGAAGGAAGGGTCTTGAATGCTGGGTGTTATATGAGGTATTCGACAAAGAAATTCTATGATAATTCCACCATTCCTGCGACAAATCAAAGTGGAGGTGCGTAATATGTTTCTTGAATTTAAAGAACATTAAGGAAATAAACCGGTTTAGATTGTCCATAACTTATAGACTCAGATAAAAAAGATTGAGCTTGAAACCATGCGGTTACCAATCAATCAGACCGACCAACTTGACTGGAGTTGTCCCTATCTGGTATGATTTGAATGGCTAATACTAAGTAGATTAGCAGTTTGACAACATTGGATGAGCTGTTATGCTATATACACTATAAAGGAGGCTCATAACTTCATTAACTGATGCTAAAAGAAAAAAAAAAAAATGAATCTTGAATAGTTTAATGGGAAATGAATATGCACCAATGACATTATACATTTGTTTACAGGAAGATCCAATCACTTGCCAGTGATTCTGGCCACGACATTTGGTTCCTTTGCTTTCCTCCTTATCCTAGGATCTGTTGCTTTCATTGTTAGGAAGAGGATTGTGAAGCAGAGGAAAGGTGCTTATTAGAGTCTGAACATTTGTTCCTTTTTTCGACAGTTTGGTGTTGGTATAAATTTGGGTTTGAATCCAATTTTTTGCTCTGATTTTGTAGAAAGAAAGCGGCTTGGTGCTATGCTGGTAACGGTTAACAAATCGAAGCTCAACTTTTCTTATGAAACGCTTGAGAAGGCTACAGATTACTTTGATGATTCGAATAAATTGGGGCAGGGAGGATCTGGTTGTGTATACAAAGTATTCAATTCCCTCTCTCTCTCTCGTTTCTCGTAGTTGTTTAAAAGATTTGTGCATAAACACTTACAAGTGGTGTGTGTAATGTGTTATAGGGGGTTTTGCCGGATGGCAAAACCGTGGCGATAAAGAGGCTTTTCTTCAACACGACGCAGTGGGCAGATCATTTCTTCAACGAGGTTAACCTGATCAGCGGCATCCATCACAAGAACCTCGTGAAGCTGCTAGGCTGCAGCATCACAGGGCCCGAAAGTCTCCTCGTTTATGAATTTGTACCCAACCAAAGCCTTTATGACTACACCTCGGGTTAGTCTCTTATCCACGGTTTTAGTTTTGTCTTAGCTTATGAGTATTAACTCGGGCTGCTGCTTTATCGTTTGCATTGCTGATGGTTTATGAATGGTTTTGATGGATCAGCCAGAAAGAACCACCAACCTTTGAGTTGGGAGCAAAGGTACAAAATCATATTGGGCACGGCAGAGGGCTTGGCTTATCTCCACGAAGAAACCGAGCTATGTATCATTCACCGAGACATAAAGCTAAGCAATGTGCTTCTAGACGAGGAATTCACACCAAAAATTGCTGATTTTGGTCTTGTGCGGCTTTTCCCCGAGGATAAGAGCCATATTAGCACAGCCGTGGCTGGCACACTGTGAGTTCATCTCGTTTTCCCCTTATCGTTCTTTAGCAAGCTTTACAATTAGACTATACATTCAATGCTGTGAACCCGGGACCCAAATTATCTGTTCTATATATGTCTCGTTTTACTCGTTGTACTAATGATCAGCATTTAAACACTAGGGGTTACATGGCTCCCGAATATGTAGTTCAAGGGAAATTGACTGAGAAAGCGGATGTATATAGTTTCGGGGTTCTAGTCATTGAAGTTGTCTCTGGAAAGAAGAATAGCTCGTTTTATCAGGCTTCCGTTTCTCTCCTGCAACAGGTACTTCTTTCACTAAACTCTTACAGAATGTTTGGTTCACAGGATGAATATAGAATGGAATGGAATAGGCGAGGAACAGAATATGAATTGTATTCTATTGTTTGGTTCATAGCCTATTCCTGAATTCAGGAATAGCCTAATTCCATGCCTGGAATACCTATCCCGATAATAAAAAGCATTAACAAACAACGAAATAGGCCTATTCCCGTGAATGTCATTTCATTCTAAGCTTACACCGCGAACCAAACATGCTATTAGTATCTCGCGAATTCCACAACAGACTATGAAATGAACTCGTGTTTTCGTTTTATAGCATTGGAACCTGTTTCGTGCTGGAAAACTGTATGAAGCAGTGGATGGTTCTCTGGAAGAACGAGCCCGAGTGGAAGCGACGAGGCAGCTTCAAATAGGCCTAGTTTGTGTGCAGGCCTCACCCGAGCTACGCCCCTCCATGTCTGCTGTGGTGAAGATGATCAGTGGTGACCAAGACATTCCCCAGCCAACACAGCCGCCTTTCCTCACATCCAACAGCGCAGCATCCAGCGGCTCGTACCCTAATCGTGGCGGCGTTACACCTTACTCTCAGCCCTCTTCATCCACCCAATCCTCGGTGAACACCATGACAGAAAGCTGGATTGACCCCAGATGATCCTGAACTAAACTGCCCCACGAATCAATACCCCCCCGACAACGTTGCCTGGGCTTTTAGCGTCTTGTTCATAAACGCCTATGACTTTTTCTGTACTAGTGAACGTCAACGATCGATCATTCAATCTCAATCAGGCAACTATGGATCTATGGCTCAATCATGACAGCTCCACTTAGTGAAGCAACTATAGTTTACCCAGGTCAGCTTGGCATTGACTTGATTTCGGCTTCCATTTGTGCCCCATGATCCATGAACACGTTTTAGATAATCATAAGTTTGGAAATTGAAATTGAAAATTGCAAGTTGTAATGCAAGTTGCAGCTTGCACCCTCCCAATTGTGTTTGTGTATAGGAAGTATCTTAGGGTAGGGGCTGTTTGTCTGTATTGTTCTTTAATATTCCAATATGTATAGTGGCTGCATGTTGATTAGCTGTTCATAATACTTTTGAAAGCAATATCTAGCATATAATATCAATTTTCAGTCTGGGAGGCAATTGACAATAATCGAACTCGTGACTTTTAAATACGTGAGAGTCGAATTTTGCCTACTGGATCACCTCGCTCAATTTTGATTTTTTTGGAAGCATAGTTTAAATTATGTATATTAAACAATTAATTAATGGCAGTCAGGACTCAGGAATGAGTATTTACATAACAAAAAATTAATTATTTATAGAGTTAATTTCATGAATGGCCTTTGATTATGGGTATTTATTAATTTTTATCACTTTTAATTAGACCAAAAATAGTTCATTGATTATTGACATTTATTAATTTTAGAAAAAATTTCACTTTTGGTCTCATGATTATTGTATATGAATCAAATTTGATCCTTAACTATTAATATTATCAAATTAGGTACATGATTATGTAATTTGTATCACATTTAGTCATAGGATTATTAATATTCTAAAATTAGGTGCATGATTTTGTAATTTGTATCACATTTGGTCATACCGTCCAATTTTCTAGCCAAATTACATACTCATGCACCTAATTTGAAAATATTAATAGTCAATGACCAAATTGATACAAATTACATAGTTATGCACCAAATTTGAAAATATTAATAGTTAATGACCATATTTGACACATACAATAGTTAAGGGACCAAAAATAAACTTTTTTCTTAATTTTAATCATCAATTTTTAATTTGACCATTTAAGAGCAATAATGTTAGCTTGTTGTTTTTATCTAATTAATAGGATAACTGATTTTTTATTGACTTTTTCTCTTGCAAAGTTTAATTTTTGCAAGAAAAAAAAAAAAAGAAAGAAGAAAAAAGAACACAATTTATGCTAACGGGCCACCAGCGCATGCACCCGCTTGGACAATTCAGAGTAGCCGCCAGCTGGCGGTCACTCTGAATCAATTGGCGTTGCAAAATGCAACGGTCAACTTCTTGTTGTTGTTTTTAAAAAAAAAAATTAATTTAACATGCTCAGTAATTTTTAAATTTATATTCCAAGTTAATTTATTTAATTTTTTTATTTAATAATATAATTAAATTTATAATTATCAATTTAATTAAATTTTCATAATTATCAGTAATATTATTATTAATTTTATAATTATCAATGACATTGGATCAATTTTATAATTATAATTTTTAGAATCACAAAAAATAAAGAAATAATTAAAATATATATAGTGTAGTAAAATGGTGTGTCCATAAAAAATTTTAAAAAAATTAAAAATTAATTAGAAGAAAATTTTTTGTGATTGAGTGAAATAATCGATAATGATATGAATGTTTGGATCCATAAAAAAAAAAAAAAAAAAAAAAAAAAAAAAAAAAAAAAAACCTCAACTATTGAGAATGTTCTAATGTATCTTAAAAACTAAGTGAATCCATGGCAAGAACCAACATTTCAATGGAACGTGGGTCGTTGCACTACGAGCATCCGCCTCAGGACATTCTGAATCTTCTCTCAAGTGATGCGATTGGAATTCCGCGACCTCATTGTGTGCATACTGACCAGTAGATGTTTGGTTGTTGGGATTGCTTCGTCCTTAAAAAAAAAAAGATCTTTAAATTTTTTGAGTAAAAAATATAGAATATACAAGTTTCGACTACCATTCTAAATAAATGGTAATATGTTCAAATTTTGGTGGTAAAGACTTAAATTTTTTGGGCTAAAATTATTTGAAAACGTATAAAATAGATAATACATTGTATAGAATCGTGGATATTTTAAAAAAATAATAATAATAAATAAATAGAATATGCAAGTCTTCATAATTGTTGTATAACAAGGACTTTGACCAGCACACCCAAGACTCCCATGGGTTCTTCCTTCAAATAGAATAGAAGTTAACTTATTTTCCAAGAATTCAATACAAATTCGAATGAATTGTTCAAACTCTTCTTCCCAATTTACAACTCAAGACTCCATAGAAATAAAGCATCCCATTCCAATCAAATTATTATTTTGTTAAAATATGTTAAAGACGATATTATAAATAATAATCTACATTAATTGGGACAACATCCAGCATTGAGGTTATACTTGTGTGAGACCGTCTCACGGATCTTTATTCGTGGGATGGGTTGGGTTCAGTCAATATGAAAATGTAATATGAATTAGGAATAAAGTGTTTATTACTTATAAGGAAATTGAAAATGTAATACTATATGTTTACATTTAATTTTGATGTAAAAGTATTACATTTTTCCTTATAAGTAATGTTGGAAAATTGATTGGGCAGGATAACTTAACAGCTAAACCAACTCACCTAGACTTGTAAAACTATTAACATAGTCAGACATGCATAGTTGTCAAAGTGCAATGGTATTATTAATCAGCCAACCATAGCAGCTAACTAGATTTTTTTTTTCTTTTTTTTTGAAGAATCTGATTCATTAATTCATATCCAAAAATAACATGTTACGAAGGAAAGATTGAGAATTTGAAAACTACTCCAAATAACCAGACATAGAAACGTAGTGCTTGGTTAATACATGAGGAGCTACCTAGATCGAAAAAATCATGTTGATTCACTTACAAAGTGTCATCATAATATAAGCAATTTGAATTCAATATAAATGGCTATCCAATCCCACACTCTCAATCAACACACATCTTATTCATCATTTGTACTCTTTACATTATTGGATGATAACCATTCCATCTTAATCAAGCAGCTATTGTTTACTCAAGTCAGCTTGACTTTGACTCAATTTCGTCTTCCACTGAACACATTCAAGATAGATAATGATAAAATTGGAATTTTGAAAACCACTTGTAATGCAAGTAGTTGGTGCCATGATACATGAAGCAATATTGAATCATAGTGGATGACTGGATGAATGTGTATATATATAATATATGACCGTGTTAATTATGCTTGTGCCGGGAACAATCTGATCTTAAAGGATTACAGAGAATTTCTTTACGAATTTTAGTGTAACTGCATTCTCAGAACTCTAACCCGAAATATCTGGTTAAGTTAGAAAAAACTCACTTCACTTTATTCATACCCCCAAAGATAAATTATATAATGTACTTATATGTACATACTCTTGTGAAGAGAAATTAGATTCACTTACTCAAATACATACATGATTAACTCACTCGAAATCTTTTATAAAAAGTCTTACACTTATACTATCACGAGCGAAGACATGTGTATCTCGTGGGGGTTTCCCCCTTCCCCTTGGAATATTATATATATATATTTATTGAAATATATATAATATTAAAAAAATTATCCTTTCAAAATATTTGGTCCCCCCACTTAAAATATATTATATTATATATATATATATATATATATATATATATATATATATATATATATATATATATATATTTATTTATTTATTTATATTTATATTTATTTATTTATTTAATCTTACACTTATACTATTGGGGGCGAAGACATGTGTATGCCGTGAAGACTAACTAATTATATTCCTCGATTTTTTTTTGGTGTAATTTTCTCTTAACCATATTAATAGACCGAGTGTTATTGGATTGAATTGAGTGGCGTGTTTGGATCAAAGCCAACCTCACTTTAGCTAATGAGCCAACCTCATTTACTTTGTCACTGTTTTATAACAATTCAGTAACTTAAATGCAATTTAAAATCCATATACAATTAGAAAAGTCGATAGATTTATAGGTTTACATGAGCTCAAATTTTGATTCTTAGAGGGGGAGAGAGGGGAGGGAGGGGGGGGGGGGGGGGGTCTTCAATCAAGGCTGTTATAGGATTTTACCGACTTTTCCAACACCCCCTTAATTATATTTAAAATTAAGTTTGGACTTTTTATAATGAAGTGTGAATCACTTTTCCAACATTTCTTAAATCATGATAATTAGATTACTGAAATATACATAAGAAAATTATGCAAGTCTTCAAAGTTGTTGTATAACAGGTAATTTGACCAGCACCCAAGACTCCCATGCTTAATTTCCTCCTTCAAAGTTCAAATAGAATACAAATTAACTTATTTTCCAAGAATTCAATATTATTATTCTTCTTCTCAAATTTGAATGAATTGTTCAAATTATTCCTCCCAAGAGTCAAGACTCAATAAAAATAAAACTAACATTATATTCCAAATGATTTTGTTAAAATATGTTTTCTTTATTACTACTGACTTTGTTACAATGTTACATATTTATTTTGAAAATTCATTAATTACATGCTTAATAATGCCTACTAATGGGTTATAATACAATCCAATTGTTCCAATGATTGAAACAATATGCCCAATTTCGTGCCCTACATTAGCATTATGGGTGATCGATATTTCAAGTCCAAGATGTTGAAAAAATTAATAAGTGGTAATTTAGTTTTTTTTTTTTCTTTTTTTACAAGACTATATAAAATAATCAGTCAGAGCTATAAAAGTGCATTAGCACACTTGATCAAGCGACCATAACAACCAACTAGCTAGAGAGCAAAGCGTTAACCCACTTACAACGTATCATCATGACATAGACAGTTTAAATTCAATAATATAAATAACTCTCCAATCCTACACTTTGGATCATCACCGCACATCTCATTTATTACTTGTGCCATAATCTACCCCTACATAATATGAACATAAATCACTACTCTTAATCTAATTTCCACTATCACCTACAAACTTAGATACTGTTCACATTCTAAATCGGAATGTAAACTAATTTTATAAAGTAAAAAAATCAAAATTTATTAAAATTAAAAATTTTGAATTAAATATGAAATGATAATCATATTTACTAAATCAAAAGTTTCAATTTTTTTTCAACAAAGAAATATCACAAAACAATAAAGAAATGCAATATCAATTTATTTTCTTATGAGGTTTTTTTTTTTTTTTTTTTTTTTAATTTCCTTATGAGTTTAGAGACATATGTTCCCACAAAAACGAGAAACATGAGTTATAAAAGAAAAAAAAAATGTGGGAGAAGAAGAAATAAAGAAATGAAAGAAATAAAAGGAATATTGTGGAATACTAGGTTAGTCAAAATCATTCACGATTCATCCTACCCATAATCTCATTGACTTTGACTTTTGCTAAAATAAAACCAATGACTTTCGGTGTAGGACAGCAACAATAGTCTTTAATTAATGCCACGATCCACACACGCCGGTCTGAAAGCCCGACCATTTTTAGCGGCGAATAATGTTTTCATTGGACGAATACTTGCATCCCACTCGACAATTTTTGACTTTTTTTGTATTTCCTAGAGTCAAATCGAGCATTTCAGTTGGTAATATCGAAATAAATTGACGCAACTTTAATCTAGAATCTCTATGAGAGACATTTCGTGAGATACTTCAGTATGATGGGACCGTGAGACTAAAAATTTGTTGCAATAATAGTCACAATTCACAATATATTTAAGTTTAAATTGTGTTACTAGTAAGAATCAAATCATTATATTGTTGTCGTTAGTGTTACAGTATATACTAGTAATTCACCCGCGCGATGCACGGGAAAAAATTATGTTATTATAAATATAAATAAAAATAGAAAAACTAAAATATTTTAAATTATTTAATATAATAATATTTTTGAGCTTCTATTGGTCAAGTATTTATTATTTTTATGGAATACAAAATTAAAATTAAAATTAAAATTAAAATTATAAGTTTGTATGATTAATATAATCTCTAATTATGTGCATATTTAAATAAACTTATAGAGAGAATTTACATAATTACATTGATTTATTCTTAATTGTATTTCATCTATATTATAATTTTCACAATACGAATAATAACTAAGATAATTACATTTGGAAAACAAATTTCAAATTTTGTATGTGTAAATTTAAACTCTAATTGAACACATTTTTTATATGATTATATAATATATATAGCTATTTTATTTTTCAAAAGTATATTTTTTATATGATTATATAATATATAGTTATTTTATTTATTAAATGTTGTGCTTTTTTTTTTTTTTATAATAAAAGATGTTTTGGCATTAATTGTAACATTAATTATTTCCCAAACCATATAGCTTTATTATATAAAGGATGTGACTTTCTCATTCGTACTTTTACACTACTAGGCTATGCATCGAGGACAGAGTAACTCATTATAGAGTCTATCTTTTGTCAAGAATGAAGTAACTCTAAATTCATTCACTTTATTCTGTGAGAGAGTCTTGAAACATTTATATGTCTCATACTTTAAATTTCAATATAAAATCACAGGACTTTTACTCAAATCAAATTATTTAAATATCAATTTTCAATATTACACCCCACCCTTAAAATCCAATCATATTCACCAATTTGCACCCTCTCCCCAAAAAGATAGTGACACCATTCTAGATTTGTTGACATGTCAACATTACTTAAGCAACATATACATCCATTAAATTGGACAATAGAAATATATACATATATATTAAATTCAACACAATCTTACGATACACCATTTTTTAAAGGTAAATTGAAACAATTAAAGGTTATTAATATTCTAAGATGATATGCTAAACTACATATTATAAATTATAAATAAAAGAAATAGTCAAAGACCAAGGAAGAAACACATTTTAAATAATATTTACCTATTTTGCCCTCATCTATGTTTTGCATGTATAGGATGTTAAATTTTCAATAATAAGTATCATTTATCAAAAATATTATATGATATAAATGAATAATATGATCCGTCTTAACATGTCTTTTCATGGGTGTGAGTGGATTAGTTTTTTATAGACTCCAATCAACACGTGCACATCTGATACTAAAATAAAAAATGTGATCTCTTAACTAAAAGACTAAATTGATAGTTAAACAACACATTTGTATTTATATACTCAACAAATATGAGGGACATGCATTTTATTTATTTATTTATTACATATAGCATTTGTCTCGTTATACCTACCACTATGACTATAATTTGAATTCAATTGAATTGTGTTTTAAAATTTTATTTTTTACTCAAAAAAAAAAATGACTGATTGTTCCAAACCACTAAATTAACAATAATATTAATATATCTTTTGAAATTTATACTTTGGAGTTTATAAATATATATACTTAAATATTGAATTCAATCAAAATCTTAAAAAAGCTTATTGTTTTCTCAAGTTGTAGTTGACGCAAGGGCAAAACGGTCATTAGACAACAGTCTAAAAAATGGAGCAGCTAGCACACAACGTAAGAATATAAAGAACTAAACAAGGAAGTTTCTGCAAAATCTACCGCGTGTTTCAAAGTACGCTTCAATTCTCTGATACTCCGTAAATATACATAAACTACTTGCTACTCTTTTCTTCTTCTTCAATCCGCCATTTTTTCTATCCTCATCTCCTTACCTGCTTTTTCACTTTCCTCTCTTCTCTCTCTCTCTCTCTCTCTTCACAGCTGTGGAGCTGCTAAGAGCAATTCAGAAACCTTCATCTCAAATCGAATTCCCCCGAACAGCCCACGCAGAGAAGGAGGTAAATTTGCTTTTATTCCTGTTAAGAAAAACATTTTTTCTGGATTTGTTACTATTAAGGATTGAATGCTGTGAAATGATGGTTTTTGTTTTATTTTATTATTATTATTGTAATTTATTTATTTATTTTGGGTTTTCTGTAGCCGGTGAACAGCTCATAGGCTATTATCTTGTCGGTTTTTAAAGCATTAATAAAGAAAAAAGTTTAATGAAATGTACATGTGAATAAGAATATTCAGAATTACAAGAAACCACAGTCAGTATCCGAGGTGTGAATTGGATAAATCTCATTTTGTCATTTTAGTCGGTAAAGGATAAATCAGTTTAGATTGCCCATAGCTGATCCATTCATACCAAAAAGTCTAATTAGACTCCTCGATTACTAAGTCACTAACCTGATCAACTGGGTTGGGTTAGCCATGTGAATAAGAATATTTGATTTTGGGGTGATAGGATGCCCAGGCTGCAAAATTGTAGATGAAGGTGGGTCTAATACTTAATTTAGTCTTTGGAACTTAATGGGGGTTGGTGTAGAAATGTCAATTATTTAGGCCCGTGGTGTCCTCTTCTTTTAGATGTGTATATTTAACAACTCTCACCAAGCTGGTTGATATGCCTTAAATGGAAGTATGAGTGTGTCTTGCATTTATGATTTGTTTCCTTTAGGAAACCGTAGTAAACTTCATGTGATCTTGTATAACTTTGAAATCAAGGCTAAGTATTTTTGCGAATCTTTGTAACACCGGGGAATAAAGGAAGTGTGAAACGCAAATTAGTTGTGTGCTTGACCCGCTTTTTAGAATTTTTGACGACCTTGGTTGAGAACGCGATTGTCAATGCTCCGTGGTTTAAGTACATGTCTTGCTGTAACTTTCAGGGGAGATCTTATTATGTTCATCTCGAGTCTTGACTTTCTGTGCCTAAAGACAAGAAGAAATGATATATATATAAATGTATGATAAGGCTTATTTGAAACTTTGAAAGTGATGTAAGGCATATCATGAACCTTTTGTGATTAAATTGCTTGTCTATGATAGTGATTGTGTCTCAATTTTACCAGGCTCTTCGTTATAATACCAAAAATCATGCTGATTACCTGGCTCATCGAGTATTTAATTTGAGCGTTTTCTGTATCCCTTACAATTTCGTTTTATGTTGAACAGGCTTGAAATCAGAATAAGAGCTTGGAGATAGGCCTCGAGTCTTCCAAGCATGGAGAAAGCATTCATTCCCTTCATTCTTAGCCTAATTCTGCTTTTCCCAGATCTATCATACGGTGCCCCGAGAGCTCAGCAAGTCAAACTCATTTGCGAAACGGAATTAGAGCATAACACCACAGCTTTTGTGCCAAACTTTGTTGGTGTCATGGAGAAGATAAGCGACAAAATGAGAACTCAGGGGTGGGGAACTTCTGTACTTGGCTCGGGCCCGGACGAGAACTTTGGGCTAGCGCAATGCTACGGAGATCTTTCTCTACTCGACTGCGTGTTGTGCTATGCTGAGGCTCGTACAGTGCTCCCCCAGTGCTTTCCTTTCAATGGCGGGAGAATTTATCTCGATGGCTGCTTTATGCGGGCTGAGAATTACACCTTCTTTGATGAGTATTTAGGGCCCGGAGATACTCGTGTCTGTGGGAACAGCACCCGAAAGGATCCCTCGTTCCAGCAGACAGCTCGGAGAGCCGTGATGCAGGCGGTTTCAACTGCGGTGAACAATAATGGCTCTTCGAGATCCCAATTATCAGTTCCCGGGAGGCAAAACGAGTCGGCTTATGTCCTGGCGGATTGTTGGAACACTCTGAATGATAGCGCTTGCAGAGCGTGTTTGCAGAACGCTTCGGCATCCATGTTGGGATGCTTGCCTTGGTCCGAGGGTCGTGCCTTGTACACAGGATGCTTCATGAGGTACTCCGACACCAACTTTCTTAATCCTATCCCGAGTAACGACAGCTCGTCGAGAGGTAAGATTACCGTGCCTTAAGGCAGTTGTTTTCTTCGAAACTTTAGTGCTCTCCAAACTTGCCTGATCAACGACTCTCCAACGATTTCTTTGCAGTAAGTGTAGCAGTCATCGTCGTCGCTGCTGTTAGTTCGGTGATTGTGTTGATAGTGGGAGTAGTCATTGCTCTTTACTTCTTGAAGCAGAGAAGAATCGAGAAGAAGAGGAAAGGTAAAAAAAACAAAGAATATAAGTTTCCTAACTAATTGGTTTGATTCAGTTTTTTAGTGTGGTTTGGCACATGTGCATTATCTTTTAGTGTGGTTTGGCCTATGTGCATTATAGCACAATTGAGAGACATTGGCCTAATATTAGATTTTACTCCGTAACATGTTATAACATGGTATCAGAGCTTGTTTGGTCCACTTTGTGTTCACCAAGCTTCCGTTTGAGATTAAATATGAAATGTTAGCTTATTGTTCTCGAACTGCCCAGGTCCAAATGATGCCGAGAAATTAGTGAAAATCCTTCATGACAGCAGCTTGAACTTCAAGTATTCCACACTCGAGAAAGCAACCGGATGTTTCGATGAAGCCAACAAGCTTGGCCAAGGTGGATTCGGTACAGTGTACAAGGTTCGTTCGGTCTGCACTCTCAATTCGAAGCAATTCACCCTTTGTGTTATACATCTGACAAACCCCGACCTTACGATCTGATAACCGTGCAGGGAGTTTTGCCCGATGGAAGAGAGATCGCTGTTAAAAGACTCTTCTTCAACAACAAACATAGAGCAGCAGATTTCTACAACGAAGTCAACATTATTAGCAGTGTCGAGCACAAGAATCTGGTCAGGTTGCTCGGTTGCAGTTGTTCTGGTCCCGAAAGTCTTCTGGTATACGAATATATGCACAACCAGAGTCTTGATCAGTTCATTTTCGGTGAGTTTTACTATATTTTGCATCAACGTTAATCTAATATAGAGTCATTGATGGTGTTCCATGAATATTTATCAAAATTAACAGATCCCAACAAAGGCAAAGCATTAAACTGGGAAAGGAGGTTTGAAATAATTATAGGGACTGCAGAAGGCCTAGTCTACCTCCACGAGAATTCGAGGAATCGAATTATCCACAGAGACATAAAAGCTAGCAACATCCTATTGGACTCGAGGCTTCGTGCTAAAATTGCTGATTTTGGGTTGGCAAGATCCTTCCAAGAAGACAAAAGCCATATAAGCACTGCAATTGCGGGAACTCTGTCAGTAATCGCAATTAGCATCATATTTCAGTTAAACTAAACCGTCGAAACAATGTTTGATTCTATTTTTCTAATGTTGCAGGGGATATATGGCCCCAGAGTACCTTGCCCACGGGCAGTTAAGCGAAAAGGCAGACGTTTACAGCTTCGGTGTAGTTCTGCTGGAAATAGTCTCGGGGAGACAGAATAACAGGAGCAAGGCCACGGAATACACAGACAGCTTGGTGAATATAGTACGTTACAAAGCCTTTGATCTTCCTTTTATGTATGTTGAGCATATAACCATGCAATCCAACTATCAGCTTAGGCTTTTAGTTGAGATGGAGCACATGCTTCAATTTGGTATCAGAGCCAGACCAAAGGTCATGGTTCGAAGCGACTACGGTCCATGTTGCTTGAAACTCACCGCACACATGAGGGGCGTGTTGAGCATATGTGCAATCCAACTATCAGCTTAGGCTTTTAGTTGAGATGGAGCACATGCTTCAATTTAATCTATCTTGCTATGCCTCGTTTATATATACTCTCTTCAATCAATGACAACGAGAATAATGGTACGAAACAGGCTTGGATGCACTTCCAACAAGGGACAGTGAACGAGCTGTTCGACCCGAACCTAATGCTGCATAACTACCATAACATCAATGTCAAAAACGAGGTCCTGAGGGTGGTCCATATCGGGCTGCTGTGCACCCAAGAGGCGCCATCGCTGAGGCCATCCATGTCCAAGGCATTGCAGATGCTCGTGAAGAAGGAGGAGCTGCCAGCGCCCACGAATCCTCCCTTCGTGGACGAGAAAACCATGGAGCTAAACGATGGCTGGGATAACCAGTCTTTCCCGCTCAGAGGAAGCGAGTCTGCCTCCGTTGCCAGCGTTTCGCACAGCTCTTTCTACCCCAGATAAGACACGAAATCGACACACTTGCAGTATAATTGTAAGTTCCATCTTCATTTTGTTTCTACTTCACGCGATTCTTGGAACATGTATTGTGAGATGTAGTTCTTTTATGGTTTTGTATAGAGACATGACTGGAGATTATAGTGTCATTGAGAGAAAATAGAAACATGATCTTGAGCAGTTCATCGTTTACATACCCCGGATAATGTAGTGATGTATAGGTACTCCAGGGAAGTTGCATCGAAGTATACATAAAAACTATGTGCCAAAACAAAGAGAAAAGTATAAATAAAAGCTTGGTCAATTATTGTGGCTAGGGGGATATGATGTCCGGCCAGCTGGTTCGGTTTCGGCAAATTGTTCTGTGAACCTGGGTACAAAAGTACATAATTTACATTATAAAATTTTCATAATTCAAATTGTGAACATTCGGTAAGTAAATTATGTATTTGGATTCGGGTCTACCTTGCAATGTGGATACGGGTCCATAACATAACTGTTGTTCGGTTTCGGTTAATATTGACGTGTTGTTGACTTATTGGTTCAAGTTAATCATTTTTTTGGTTGGGTTTAAATTTTGGCCCAACTCTAAAATATCAGGTTGTTGGGCCTACCAGGCAACTTAACTAAAGTTGTTGACATTTTCAAATTAATATTCTGAATTTTCAATTTTAATAAGTTAATACATTTATACTAATAAATATAAATATATACATCGTTCAACTTCTTTTTTTTGTTCAATTACCAGGACTATGTGGTCCAATGGTACCCGGGTTGGATTTCCATTTGAAAGGTTGTGAGTTCGAGCTTGTGGAGGCGTTATTAGCTCTTTGTGTTTCAGTAGGTTGAGAAAGTATATGAACAGTTACTACAATCTAATAGAGCTAGTAGCATTCAAAAATATACATAAAAAAATTAATTTAAACTTTCATTTTCAAATTTTAATTAAAAATAATTATTTAACTAATATATAAACACTTAATATAATAATTGTAATAATTTTTTTTCATTATTTATTTTCATAAAAAAATATATAGTATTTTGTAATAAATTTATTAAAAGTTTATGTACATATTTAATAAAAATTATTAAAGATGAACTTACATATAAATTCTCTATATATTTTGTTGTCAAATTATACCATGGATCAATGTCTACCTATCATCATGGACTTTGGTCCAAAAATAACCTTCAGATTATGTGTCTGCAGTTGACATATTTTGTACTTGTAGTTAACCATTTCTATACATGTACAAATTGAAGACACATAACTTTATAATTACAGACACATAACATGATAACCACATATAAATATATAAATTGTTAATTGCAGGTACAAAATGTGTCAATTGAAATATAAATCTTGGTGCATGGTATAACAATTGAAATTTTGTTCCACAAACAAATAATAGCCTTAAGTGGCAATTTATATCCTACACCACGGCGCGCGTTGCACTGTGCGTCCAGATGCAAAACGACGTCGTTTTAATTTTTATTTTTTTTAAAAAATTTCCCGCCCCAGTGTATGGCAGTTAATTTTTCTTTAAAAAAAAATCTCTTGTTCAAAAATGTACATAATGTTATACTAGAATACACATAATTGTATACATGAATGTACATAATTATATAACAAAATATACATACTCTTTTTAAAAGATAATACACATAATCTAACATAATACATAATAAACATAAACTTTTAACATAATACACATCAACTCTTAACATAATACACACAAATTTTTTGATTCGGATGTACATAATTGTATAAAAAGAATGTACATAATTGTATAAAAAATGTACATAACTGTATAAACAAATATACATAATTGTGTGAACAAATATACATAATCATAGCAACTTCCTACCGCGCCTCCCAAAACGACGTCGTTTTGGGAGGCGCGCGGCGCACAGTGCTACGCACGCCGTGGTGTAGGGTATAACAATTGAAATTTTGTTCCACAAACAAATAATAGCCTTAAGTGACTTTAGTTAGCTAGTCCATTCAAAATTATCGATTTCAGACATATCGTATAGATTATTTTTATCGGGCTAAAATTTGTTGTCCTAACCGCAAAATTTTTTAGTTTGATCATGTCAGATTGTCAGGTCATCGATTTCTATTGGCATCCCTAATTATGGCATGTTGGTATTCATCCATTCTAATTAGTGATTGATTATGGGCTTAACATGGAGGGTGTTGGCATTTGGCAATTCCCAATAATTTAACTGGTGGCCTTCATATACGAAAATTACTACATTCTCTTTAGACTTTGGTAACTTATTATTCACTTTAAATTGGATCAAACTATATGTCTATATTGCATCCAAGATTCAAATGTAGTTTGGTGATGATAAACTATTTTCTTTTCAAGCAATATGTATAATAAGTTCAAGTTACACTAACCAACCAAAAATTCTTTTTATTTTTTTTTTCTTTTTTCCTTTTTTGGTGTACGTAGGGTTTTCACCGTCGAACACAGTGACTAATCCCCTTGCTGAATTGTAGACACCTCTTTTAGGTGTGACAGCTGACCTGGAGATTTAAGGCTGCTCCAAACCCAAAGCTAACAATTCTTAGATGTACCAAAAAAAGTATTATATTTCTTGCCCTTGTATATAATTATAATAAGATGCAATCTCTTGAAATCTGCTAATTGTGTAATTTGAGGCATTTAGGGAGAGACAGCAGAAGACACAACAGCCTGAATTCCATAGCTGTGATTAAATTAAGATATCTTCGATTAGGTCAAAGATAAGATTAAGATAAATTGGAATGATGTTCCTTGTCTTCATGATTATTATCATACCCCATTATCCTCAAAGCTCCAACTTGATTGCACTAATTAACTTCCCTTTCTGTCTGCAAATAAAATATTCATTTTACCATAAACGGCTAAGCTAATATTCATCCTTTTGACCAAAAATAGCCCACTCCTATGTTGTCCGATCCGCTTTTTTACATTTATTATTATTAAGTTTATATTCCAAATTTAACAGTCCCTCAATGTTACCTTTAGAGACAAATGAAGGAGATAAATCAAGAGATTGTATGTGTCTCGATTAGACTAAGTAGCTAACCACTTATTTGGTGTTGGCTAGACTTCTACGTGCTATCATTGTGATGTGTGGTTACTTGGCATCCAATGTAATGGTAACTTGACATAATATATATTTTTTTAAAGAAGATATTTTTAAAAATTCTTCTGAAAAAATTTAAAAAATATTGTTGGATAGAGATTGACAGTCTCCATCCGACAACAAGGGGCAGCCAGTCACCCCTAGTCAGGTTTGAGATGAGGGGTGGCCTGGTCTTCCCATATCTCATATTAAATAAGGAAATCATCAACAATTTTTTTTAATTAAAGAATGAATTAAAAATCTCTGGAATACTATGATTCATAATGATCTAGTGCCATAATGATAAATGGAATAACTATAAAATAAAATCTTTGACTATTCCAGATGTTTTTTTGTTGGGACAATATGCTTTAGATTACCTTTTGCCTAATCAGGCACAAGCCCATAACAACAGCTTGCAAAATGTATCACTGTTTTTCGAAATTCAAACTTATATTTTATTATAATAATAACTTTGATATTTAATTTAAAAATAGTGCACAAAAAAAGATAATAGACAATGTAGTGAATATAATCAATTGATGAATTTGAATGTAAAGAATTTTTACATCGGAGAAATATAAAGACAATATAACTAATAAAATTATTTCTCTTAATTAATTTATTGATAATGAATAATTTTTTTTTAATAAAGACATTGCAGGGACAATGTAGCGAATATAATCAATTGATGAATTTGAATTTAAAGAATTTTTATATTGGAGAAAAATAAATACTATTGAATATTTTTTTTTTTGAATAAAGGCATTGTAGACACATAATTCTAAATTAAAGGAATGCATAGGTATTATTTTTTGACCAGAAATAGCCCACTCCTAATGAAACACACACACAGAGTCAACAACACCTTCACTGAGACTCAATCTCATAACATCTTACATGGAAGAGGTCACAAGTCACAAGTCACAACATACCATCTGAGCACAAAGTGTTTTGCTCACATAAATCAATATATTTTATGAGCAACTATATCAAAAAAATATATATATTTTTTAAATACACACCTTTAAATAGTGACTGAAATTTATGTTCTAATCTAAACAAAATTATAATACTCCATAGATGAATACGTTTAAGAAGTAAAATGGAGTACGTTAGTACCACTCATTAAGCCCCATGGAGTTGAGAGTTTGTCCTCCATTCGTGGGTACGCCGTGCTTTCATTCAATTCGCATGTAATGTAGGGTGTATGGATAACTTACATTCGCCACACAAACCTTTTGTTTCCCATCCAATCTTTCTATACCTCAATTATTTTTTGGTCTCATCTTTCGCTCCCCGCCCCATCATTAATTTTCTCTTGCTTGCTTCTTACGCTAATTCTTATTTGCCTCTTGTGTGTGTATTATGTATATACGGTAGTGTACGTATATGATGTCTTGTAAAACCTTCGTCGTAGGCTCCACAGTAGTCGCAAAAGATTAATAATACGAGTTAATATCGAAATTAATAAGTAATGTGTGTGAGTTTTGTATTTAAAGTGCGTGAGTTTTGTACTTAAGGTGTGTGGGTGTGTACTTAATGTGAGTAGTTGTTGAAACTTAAGGTGCATGAGTTTTGTCTTAAGGTGCGTAAGTTTTGTACTTGGTGTGTGAGGGTTATGCTTAAGGTGCGTGAGGGTTGTGCTTAAGATGCGTGAGTTTTGTGCTTAAGGTGCAGGGATTTGTGTTCTAAATGCATTTTATTTGTGTGCTTAATTAATATGCGTGTGTTGTATACTTAAAGTGCGTCAGTTTAATACTTAATGTGGGTCCAACCGCACAACTGCACGGAAAGCCTCTCCTGCACCTGATCCCTTTCCTATATATATATATGTGTGTGTGTGTGTGTGAGAGTGTGATTTTTAATGTTAAAGTAAAATAAATAAATAAATAAATAAATTATGCAACTCTTACCCTATAACAAAAATTAATTAAAGTTGAAGCGGCTCATTGATCTTTTTGGTTTCAGACTTTCAGTTAGTTAGCTATGAACAACTTATGTTGGATTATCTCCTTATAATCCTTTATCGGCTAGTATTACAATGTGAGATTTACCCCAACACACACCCTTGGATAGTGGCTCCTCCCTTAACCGTATTCTCAAATTTTTAACCAAATGAAACCCT